CACCCTAACATCAGTATGCATATTCTCCATACTGTTCTCTATACATTACCTAAGGATCTTTACACCCTTACATCAGTATGCATATTCTCCATACTGTTCTCTATGCATTACCTAAGGACCTTTTCACCCTAACATCAGTATGCATATTCTCCATACTGTTCTCTATACATTACCTAAGGACCTTTTCACCCTAACATCAGTATGCATATTCTCCATACTGTTCTCTATACATTACCTAAGGATCTTTTCACCACAACATCAGTATGCATATTCTTCATTCTGTTCTCTATAAATTACCTAAGGATCTTTACACCCTAACATCAGTATGCATATTCTCCATACTGTTCTCTATACATTACCTAAGGATCTTTACACCCTAACATCAGCATGCATATTCTCCATACTGTTCTCTATACATTCCCTAAGGTGCTGACAGGGAGAATTTTATTTAAACCCTGTATACCTTACTATAACATCAGTATGCATATTCTCCATACTGTTCTCTACACATAACCTGAGGATCTTTTCACCCTAACATCAGTCTGCATATTCTCCATACTGTTCTCCATACATTACCTAAGGATCTTTTCACCCTAACATCAGTATGCATATTCTCCATACTGTTCTCTACACATTACCTAAGGTGCTGACAAGGAGAACATGCATAACAACAAAGAACTTCTTTAGTTGTGGATCATTTCCTTTTTTCTCCTGACCTTAATGTGTGATTCGACAGGGCCGATATTGAAAGGAGAAATTAGATGGTAGTCACTGTTAGGGGTCAAGGGGGTGCATGTTGGAGAGAGGAGATTATAGGAATGTAATTTGACTATGTAATAATAGCTATAGAGGGTTTACTTAGAGGGTTTACTTGATCAAAGAGTATTTTTCATCCATGAAACAAGGGTTTAATTTGCAAAATGAAATGTAGGCTTGATATCTTAAAGAAATGTTATCAAGCGCTAAAACCAAAAGCTGGGCTTGGTGTTGCTTTGAAAACTGTTAGACTCTTCTCTTTTCTTGTGTGATGGCACTGCTATTTTAAGGGTTGCCATCATGGTTTTTCTTTTGGTTTTTGTTATATTGGATTTTACTTCAGAAATCTGTCTTTTGTCCAAGCCAATGAATATGTCGGTGATATGATTATACCCAACTCTGACACATTTAGAAATGAATATTTTGAAAAATGAATGTTATGTACAGCTCTTTTGTACAGGTATGTACTGTCACAAGTGTATTAAGGCTCATCTAGTAATGATCCCTCTTTGTCTTAGTCCACAGATGAAAATTGGGTTCCCTCAATTGTTGGTGAAAGTGTGAAAATTGTACACAAGGTGAGATATATACAAATAGGTCTGGGAATAAATTTGAAACAATGTTAAGAGTGCATAATTTATCTGTGTAAGGCAGGTGTTATCTTGGATAAGGGTTGAGTAGTGGTGGCTTGGAGAATCAAAGTTCCCCAAAGCAACTACTCAACCCTTATCCAAGATTACACCTAAATGTAGTTGGGAGGTTAACATGATAAAATACAGAGATTCAAGGGAATCTTTACTTTACACAATGCGATTATGGCACAACCATTATTGTCTAGTTATGGCACACTCAATTAATGTGTATTTAACAATTATTTGCCCAAGGCAAGGTGAATATCGTCGAATAATCCCTGAGATGAAGTCAAGGGGATTATTCAACAATATTCACCGAACCTGAGGTGAATAATTGTTTTTATTAGTATAATTTCAGAGCTGAACCACAGAGAAATTTCTAAAATCATAACATTTTAGTAACATTTATTAACATTTTATTTTAACATTTTATATAAACAGCGTGGAGCAGTTTATATAGCGTCATATAAGGAACCGCTCGAGCAATCAGATTGCTGGAAACTCTTTGCTCTGAAATTATACTAAATTAGCTATATAATATATTCCATGGATCCCTTAACCCTATTACTAACAATAACTCCCAAGATCAGATTGTTACTTCTCCCTTGAGGCTGCAACACATTTCCTTGTAAACTAGTAACAAGAATTTTGTGTTAGATCAGGATTACAACTTGTACCTGATATGTTAGAGTATTCTCATTTGGGACCTAACATTATTTACAGGGAGGGCGAGGCTGGTGGAAATGAGGGGGAGACCAAACATTTGTGTGCACATAAAAGGGGGGACCAAATAAAATTCTGCAAAATTTTATCAATACCAGCAAAATTGACTTTTTATGTTTTAATTGGAGACTCTGATAAAGAAAAGACTCAATCTCAATCTGAACAAACGGTTGAGAATTGAAAGTCCTTAAAGTATTTCATCCTCAGATTCATTGCTTTCCCCTCTGTCACTTTCATCTCCTTGTGCATCACCTTTTAAAAAGGGAGGATGGTATTCTTCAATTCTTCTGTAAGCATTTTCTGTGAGCATTCCTGCCTCTTCCATTGATTTAATAAGGGGTAGATGTCTAGAGGACATAGTAGCATAGTATCTTAGATCATTTTTTGAGTGCCAAAAAATTAATTTAAAGAATTATGAGGGGGGGACCAATAAAAAGTGTGTCCCCAATGAAGGGGGAACTTAAAGTTTTTGAGAAGTTTATTTCTCATTTCCACCAGCACCCCTCTCCCTGTAAATAATGTTAGGTCCCTTAATTACCAGTTTGCTGGATAATTTATGAATATTATAGGAAGAAGCTGCATGTGAATTGCATTTGAGAGTTGTAAACCATGATGGGGTTCCCCTGTAACAACACACACTTGCCTTTGCCTTGCCTCAACATTTCCCGTCTCCCACAACTGTCTTTCTCTCACCTGTATCCATCAACTCTCCATTTCATGCATCATTCTTTATTTTACAGACTGTCACTTACCACTATGTTCAATTTTTTATTTTTTGCCTTGAATGTTAGCTTGTTAAACTTGACAGTCTTGCCTTGTACTGGAATACAAAAGATGATATTGGAAAACTGCCAACGCAAGAGGACTGGGTGGTAATTACCTGATTTCTTGATCATGAAGTATCACTGTTTTGAAATAACAAGAGTGTCAATGTCACTTTTTGATGCAGTTACTTCTAATGTTGATTTCAAGTTTTCAGCTTCACCCCACTAGTCTTCCCTGGGCGATGAAGGTGATGTGTTTTGAATCACTGATAATTATAAGAAATAATGGTCTAAGCCCTGGAGTCTCCAAGAAATGACTATATTTACAAACTGTCCCTAACAGCTGCTCAAAGGGATTGTAGTTGTTTGTTGTGTCAAAGCAGAATATTATTACTAAACCTTGACGCAATGAGTCCCTGCATCCTTTCAAAAAACCAGTACTTTTACCTCAGTCTTATTCTCAATACACTCCACGACTAGATTTACCAATTGAAAGCAATAAAGCCTTACTTTATTATGATGGAGATCTGACAGTTGTAGTTACTGTAAAGAACACCAGGGATTTTTAGACTCCTTCTTGCCGTTTTTACTAATGACAATTCTTTAAACTCTGTTTAAGTTTTACTCTAACAGTTAATTTGAGCTTAATTTACTGCTGTTGTCTTGGTCCACAACTTCTCTTTGTCTGTTTAAGGCACTTATCTCTGTAATATTTGAAAGAGTAATCTATTTTTATGGTAATTTCATGTGACCTTACACAACTACGTAAGTTTGGAACTCAACTTACTTATTTTATATAAAAGTTTGAGACAATTTGCAAATGCTGTTGGTATTTCTGATAGCAAATGAATTTTTGATGAAGATTTTGCTTTTCTTTTTAGAATCAAGCCAAAGGTGGAATAGCAATCAGAAGAACAAAACATTTCTCTCCTCCCGATTTTAAATACAGTGAGTGTGTTTTGTGTACTTTGTCTCAATTTCTAGGGACTTGTTGGCATCATGCAATTGTAAGTCAGCTTGTGCAGATATTTTTTACTAACCTTTAGTGCTTCAGAAGTTTTTTTTTTGTTGTTGCACAGCGGCATTATTCTGGAATGGCTCTATGTAAAATCAAAGTATTCACCCTTTAACTGCCAAGATCTGGTTGTTAATTCTTTCCTCTAGCTGCTTTACATTTCCTTGTAAATTAGTCTTGAGGATTTGGTGTTTGATTGAGAAAACAACTTAAACCTGATGAGTTTAAGTATTTTCATTACCTGTTGGCTGGACAATGTTTGTTAGTAATGAATACTATGGGGAGAAACTACATGTTAATCCCTTCTGGAAGTCAAAAGGATTGACTCTGACCAGTACTTTCACCCAAGTGATCAGACATAAAATTATGATCAACAACAACAACAACAAAGGAAAAAACAATTATGCACTATTCTCTTGTTGTTAAGTCTTACAGCCAATCTCAGCCACCACTAAAGTGAAGATGAATATGAAGCCAGGTTCTGATTTGAGTATCCCAAAGGTAAGAATAGAATGAAGAAAGCCAGAAGGCCATGGTTAAGATATGACATTGCTATCTGGCCAATGGTTGAAAGGGAGTAGTCTAAGAGTAGATTAATGGGGTTAGATTCAATTTTACTTTAACCTTTAATACAGCAGTGATCTTTGGAAAATAAATTTTTAGCAGGAATGGTCTTCAGAAGTGCAAAAATCTTGCTCTGTGGGGTTAGGAAAATACTTGAAAATCAATCAAGCAATCAGTTGCGTGATCGATTTGTGGGCTGGCAAGTGATTGATCCAGTGGTCAGTGAACTGAATCTTTTTTAATTACAGCTGTACACAAAATCTTATTTAGTGGGCCATGTTGTTGAATATCAACCAATCAATTACCTACTGGTTTATGGAACGATCATTAGGGTAAAAAAAGGGAAAATAAGACAAAATAATAAAGTGGCAAAGCTAGTTGGGTGAATGCATAAGGCCATGCTACCTGCAAATCTCTCAGTATCCGGTTCACGTCATTGAAAATACTGCTGCAGTGGTTTGGTTTTACCTTGCTTAAATTACAGTCAGTCTCGCATGGAATGTAATCTTTTCATTTATGCATATACATTGTTTTTTTACTTCACAGATTTTCCTAAGCTTGGTTTTAGAAGAGATATCTCTAGTTTTGATGAGAAAACAGTACCATGATATGATCGAGTTGCTGGAATCCTTTGACAGAATGACAACAAACTCTGTGTATAGAAAGTACAAACCAAATGTTCCTCTCCTTGGACATGCTGCACAGTGGTAATTACATTTGCAATATTGGTTATTAACTAGAGTAACCTTTAGCATACTTAGATGGAAACATTTGATGCCATCTTTTACATTGTTTTCAATTTTGAATAACTGGTACATCCATGTCAATGCATTTTATACTCAACTTGGAATGTTGTTCTGGATTCCTTAAATGCGTCAGTTCGTAATTTTTTTAAATGTATGAAAGTGGTCCTCATAGTAATGAACCCTACTTATGCAGTAGTGAAAATAAGGCCTGAAAAATGACAGGTTTACTACAAATCAACATAATTACCAACTCCCAGTTTGTTTGTTGGCTCAGTTGGTAGAGCACTGCACTGGTATCGCAGAGGTCATGGGTTCAAATTCTGTTTGGGCCAGAATTTTTTTCAGGCCTTATTTTCACTCTGTCTTCAACATAAGTAGGGTTCATTACTGTGAAGATTGCTTCCATACATTTCATGAAACCACAGTACACATATATGATTCACATATATTTAAATTCATTTGTAATTTTTTTGTAGATAATCTACATTTGTTTGTAATGACACTATGGCCTCTTGTATTTTGATGGTCACCCTAAATAAACTTTGAAATTTTCTTAGGAGGCTAAAGTTACATTTTGTGTGTTAGAGATAAATACATATTTTATTGGGACCAACTGTTCTGACAACTATTCTTTGGTTGATTTATAATTATCATATTTTCCAGCTATATGGGAAGTGACTACTGTCATTTTGCAAGCTTAAGCTTAACCTGAAGTTTAGTGTGGTCTTTGATTGGTAAAAGGACACTCTCCATATGCAAATCAAAATAGCCTATTATTCAGTGCAGTGTTCATTCTGTATTAATTACTTTTGCTCTACAACTGTCCTGATTATTGTCTTCCTTTCCTCCCTGCAACAGGTGGAGTTATGCAATTACAAGCATTCTTGAGGAAGATGTAAGAAGGAGATTAAGAAACTGGTCTTGGCCACACATTAAGGAACACAGGTAATGATTTCAAAAAGTGGATTAGAAATAGTCAGTGATGGTGGAAACTTGATTTCATGCCTCTCCTTTTTTTTATTCAGGGATCTCTGCAGGAGATACAAAAATTTGTACAAGAAAAAGTTACTGGAAGACAACGCTTCTGATTCATTGTCAAAAGAACTAGAGGTATGTAAACGATTTACTTGGTATAGATAGCAACTTTACACCTTGGCAGTTTATTATTGCATGTTTAATCTTTCAAAAAACCTTCAATCATCAGGCACTCGAGAGCAAGTTGGATGTGTTGAACATCACCATTTGTCGACGCCAGGCTGCCTACGAGGTTAGTAGGTTTCTTGTTTTATTGTTTCTGTAACAGTTTGAGTTACTAGGATTATTAGTTAAATTTACAGCTCCCTCCAACAAAACCAACATTTAAAATTCCAACATGGCCTGGAAACAGTGGACATTAAGTGCTACATGGCTTTTCCACTATCTAGCAGCATCTTTGCAAAAAATAAAGGAGTTTACTCAAAGTTTTTGCCTTATAGGAAGCTGTGGCATTGATGAAAAAGAAGAAGAAAGCAGAAGAGAAGAAGAGTGGCAGGTGGTTTTCTGGATTCTGGGGCTCTGGTAAAAAAAGAAAGAAAGAGGAGGATAAACCAGGTAAGCCTTTATCCACATACATCTACCATAAAGTGCTGAATCTTGCACCTGTAAGGACAAGCAATTTAAATGAAAACAGCTTCACTGTTATCTAAACAGAAATTTTAACAGAAGATCAGAAAAAAGAAGAACTGGAGAAATTGTACAGTGCCATTGGCTACAGTGAAGGAGAAACCATAACAGCTTTCCCTAAGGAGGTATTTGCTAAGTAAAAGAAGCCTTAAAAAAATTAACTATTACCTGAGACAGTCAACTTGTATTTGCTTACAGTAACTACAGCACTAAATACACTTAGTCTACTACTTGTATTTGCATACAGTAGTGTTTTTTTACACTTAAACTCATCGGCACTGATGAGCTTGGAGGAAGGTGCTGTAGCACTGTGGCAGTCGCGCTGACTACCCACAGCAGGGAGGTTACCATGGCAACACAACCTCAGTCCACCCCCCTGGCACCGGTCACACTGACAAGTCAGTGGAATTGTTTTATGCTTACCTGCTAGAGGCGGCTCACGTTAGGATCGGTGACGATCTCAAAACGTACTGAAAACCTCGTGACCCTGCAATTGCAAAGGGGGCGCCCCGCAGCATGTCCTCCCCTGACCATCGTGTCTTGATTTTAACCTTGCCTAAATTTCATTTAGCCTCATAAAAATAACCGTTCAGACAAAAACCGTGTGTCAACTAATTTTGATGCTTAAAGTGCTTAATATTTTACTTATCAAGAATGATTTCACCCCCATACGTCTAATAAAGCCTCCTGATTGTATTAATTTCTAACAGTATTTGTGGTTTTTACCCTGAATGTTTTGCAGTATGTGGAAAATAAAGTTGTGGTGATTTTAAAACAGATAAGTGTGGCTTTAAGAGATGATGCAGCTCCCAAGTGAGTGTTGAATAGAACTGTTTCTTGAGACCAGTTTGCCAGAAAATTGATGCCATTTTCTCTGAACTGATGTAGCCATGAGAACATAGACTGCTACTGCCACCAAGTTTATTTTTGATTACAAAGATATCTGTATAAAATGTTGTATTTGTTTTAACCCAAGGCTGAACAGCCTAAAGCGTGAGACGCTTGGGGAACCCAGTAATGAGTTTGGTCTTAGCTTTGTACATGTATCTGATTGGTTGGGGGATGGAATGATTTTTCTTGACCAATCACACAATGAAGTAAAGAAATGCTGAAGCAGCTGTAAATCTCTGTTAACACCCAATTGAAATTTGCTTTTTTTGTTGATGCAAGGTCCATTTCAGAGGGGTGACAATAGCTTTCTTGGATTTTTTTTCCTATCGTGGAAGAATATCTCAAGATTAGGCAGACTGTTAGTCCTCCATAATTCACAGGTGGCTCTGTAAAATGTTTAGATCTTTACAAGGAGATTTTCAAACCCAATCTGAAGCTATAATGTGACAATTTAAGTGACCTACCTCCCCTTTAGGTCAGTTCATGTTGCCAAACTGAGTTTCCAGGATCTTTATGCAGAGCTTTTCCAAAGACCATCAGCAGAAGCAATCAAGTAAGTTGAGTATTTACAACTTATAGGGATGATGTTGTCCTAGAAAAATGCTAATGGCGGAAATAGCGAGGAACCGAAAAAGGAAAATAAGTAATATGCTAAGGATATGAAATGATAAAATAACTAGAAAACTGAACTTCTTTTCCAAACCTCTTGCATGCTTACTTTCACCTCTTTATTTGGAATATTTTTCTTCATAATAATTTTAATATTCGGCTGGGGCTAAGGTGTATGAATTTGATTCTTTCATGTGTGAAGCTTGCTTTCTTGGGAGATTACCTGAGGTGGCTATAGTGGAGATGTTAGATCTTTACTATCAGAAAAGGTGAAAAAGTGAGTCATAAAGTGTGCAGCCATTGGACAGCTTTTTCAACCTTCTAAGGCCTCCCTGGCATGGCATGGCTTGGCCAAGAAGGTTGCTCATGGTCTCCCATGGAGAAAACATAGAATGAGAATATGATGCAAAAATGATTAATGGGAGTGAATGGAAGGTTGCGACAACAGATTGAGTTCTAAGGATATTAATGATATGCTGACGATCCACAAATGCAACTTGTGTGATAGAGACTGCCATTTGTGCATGGGCCTATTCAATCACATGCTGTGCTGCTCCACTAGAGCAGACAACAAGGAATCTCTTTCATGGTCATCGTAGAGGAAAGAAGGCTGACAACAAGGACATGGCACTACAGTATGTAGTTCTCTTCTGATAACGAATTTTTTGTCTAGGCTGTCAGCAAAGGTAGACCAAATGAAGATGTTCGGTTCAGCTGATGTTGTAGATGGAAAAATGCCACTCATGCTTACCTCTCAAGATGATAAATTAGGTACGTCACTTTACATGTTCTAAATAAACATTTTTGACTTAACAAGGTGACCTTTCCTGCATAATCTCTTACATCTTATAATTCAGTACTCCACTTGGACAATTTGGGAAACAATTCTTATTGGAATTCATTTTTCCTTTTGTTATTGGTAGTATCATTTTTGTCAGTGATGTTTTTGAAAAGGACAATTTGGGAAAGAATTTTATTAGAATTAATTTTTCCCTTCGGCTCTTGCAGGTATCAGTTTTGTAAAAGTTTTTGTGATCACCAAATAAAAGATTACATCTGATTTTCACTGATTATATAGTTTACTTTTCATGGAGAACTTTACATTGCTGAACAAACAAGTTGTGTCTCTAACCTTAACAAATATCTGCTTTACTAAGCTGTATTGCACCAAATGTACCTATTGTAAGTAAACACATTGTTGCACAAACATGGATGTTTTCTTTTGAATCTTGGATAGAAAGCCACCTTGCTCTTTTTAATGCATCCTTTGAGACTAACCCACTAGATGGAAAGTGTGATCAGAAAGCTAAAGTGACAGCTCAACCTGTCAAACTTGTGTATGATGCTGTAAGTATCAAAATATTTCATAGCATATGTACCGAAAATAAATTTATAACATAACCAAAGTAAAGCGCGCGCTCTGATTGGTCAATTTAGCATCCCATATTTGCCCATGGGTGTACGCTGCTGACGTGAGCAAATGCAAAGACTATTTTTCCGCGCACGCTTGTTTTTTCTGGTCACGTAAGATTTGTTAAATAAACGGGAACTCTTTAGCTACAATGTATCGATGTTATGTCATAAAACAAATGGTAAACACCACAGTGTACACTATTGAGTTATGGATGCACTTGGGAGGTTTGCTAAGCACTCAAGAAGCTAGAGTCGCTCTTGGCTATCGCCTCCCTCGACTCTTACGCTTCTTTTGTGCTTAGCAACCTCCCACGTGCATCCATAACTCAATTATAGTGTACGCTTTGGTGTTTACCATTTGTTAATTTGAAAACCCAGTTTGCTGATTTGTCAACCTAGCTAATGCTAGTCAACACAGCGTAGATGGAGCTCTGTTACATGTGTCTTAAACTACAAAATCGCTATCAAAAAGATTTTGCGATTCTGTCTTGTGAAAGAATGACTGTACTGTGCAGTAAGGCAGAGCACTGCTTAAGTAAGCTTTAATAAGCTTTAATATGAGAAGAACAAGATATTCAGTGTAAAATTATGGTTGCAAAGTCAGTCAAGTTTGTCCATGGAAATCTGCTCTAAGTATTGTGATGCTGGTGGTCAGGGCCTTGTTTGGCAGAAGAAAAACTGCAAGAGTATCTCTATCATCAGTAGACACAATGTGGCTTGTGTAGCTTTTGTAGAAGTAGGTGTTAAATATTTTTTTGCATTTTCAATTTAACTTACAGAACACAGTGGATCATATTGTCACTTTCTTTCAACCTCCAAAAGATGTCCTTCTCCAGGAGTAAGTGCCAGTGTAATATGTAAAATTAAAATTGTCTAGATTTTTGCATTTTCTCCTCAACAATGACTTCAAATTACATGATTGTTTAATAGGAATCTATGCCTATAGCAGGAAACGTTTTCGTAGCACATCCATTTGAGATTTCTTGGTGTCCCGCTTAACACAAAAATGCTATATTTCTAAATTAAATGTTAAATTATGAAGATTTGCAAGGAGTTTTTGATGTTTCATTTAAGGCTGTCAGCAGAGGCATACTCAAGACTAGAAGACCTAAAGTCAGTTTCCAAAGCAAGTCTGTTTTATGCAATTGAACACCACAAGGTAACATTTTCTCTCCTTTTTTTAATCACAAAAATACCTTTCTACCCAAGGATTGAAAAGGAAAACAGATAGTAGTGGAGTATTACTGTAGACACCAATCATAAGTGACAAGGGTCTTAATGCAGTAAATGGTTTGAACCCGGGGGTAACATGTGAAGGTGTAGTCTGATCATCCGGCTGAGTGTAGTCCTGAGAAGGACTGTTGTCAGTGGTAGTGACTGACGTTTCGACAACCTGTGCGGAAGTCATCATCAGAGTCAAGTGAATGATTGTTGTCAGTAGAACAATCATTCACTTGACTCTGATGATGACTTCCGCACAGGTTGTCGAAACGCCAGTCACTACCACCGACAACAGTCCTTCTCAGGACTACACTCACCCGGACGATCAGACTATACCTTGACAAGGGTCTTAATCATTTCAAGGAATCCTTTCTCTGTCCCATCCTCATGATGCCTATAGGAGATCTGTGGCATATTGATAAGTGCAGGTCTGCGTTAAAGCTCTGGTTTCCTCCATGGTGTTTCAGTATTCATGGGCCAGACGGTGAACTCTCAGAGTACTTCTACCCACCTAGGAGAATGGATCCAGGCTATGGGTACTAGAGAGCTCACAGGGGATCTGGGACATACTCTGAGTGTCCTCAGAGACAATTATAACATGTGATTCAATCATCTATACAGTCTTCAAAAGTGCTCTTTTGATGAGACCTTGTTAAATTTTTTACAGGTTTTAAAGACTCTGTTTATTACTTAGGTCAGTATGACCACTTGGTCTGCTGATGTTCACTTGAGTAGAAGTCAAACTTAAAAAACTATTCTCAACCATCTTCTCGTAGATAACAGATGTGGATGTGGACGTTAAGTCTCCATTCATCGTCATACCAGAGGGAGGCACCCTTAAGAAGTAAGTTGTTGAATTGTGTGGTGCATTCACTTGTATGTGGATGTGAAGTACTTTGCAATTTGTGGGTTTATGGTCATGTGATTCCCATCTTTTTTAGGATAAAGTGAAAATGTTGTTAAAACAGCCGTGTTATCCCTCACATGTCAATATGACAGAAGTACAGGGCTCCTCCTTCCCTCTAGTGGAATGATATACATGTACCTACATGTAGGCCCTCTCAGCCGGTTGAAGCTAAGTTTCAAGTCAACCAGATTTAAGATGTGTTTATATTGATATTGTTTATTTTAAATTCTCAGTTAATAATTACATGAAGGTTTTTTACTTTAGTGCTGATGGTAATGGTTGGTTATTGTTTTCAAAGTACCTTCGAATTTGTGAATATATCACTACTTCTTGAACAGGTCAGGCAATGTGCTGGTCATTGATCTTGGACATGTAAAAATCACCAGTGATCCAGAGCAAGAGAGGATTGTATCCACAAAGGTAAAATTGACCAAATAAATATATAAAAACTTTTAATTAAGGACTTTAAGCAAACCACGACGGCTACGGCAACGAGAACGTGGAAAAACAATAGATCTAATTGGCAGAACAATAGCCCAGCACGTGCGTTTTAAAACTTTGTACATTTCTTAGCCGTCCTTTGCAAAACAACAACGTGAAATCACCAAAATTTGCGTCGTCTGCGAAGCGAAACCGCGGCGGCAAATTATTTTAATTTACATTTGGAACTCAACGCTGCTTTTATGCGTTAGGTTGAGTTTGAGGTCTGGCGCCCTATGAGACGGTAAACACATGCAGCCATTTTCGAAATTCTAACTAAAAGTAGAAACTCATTTTTTAATCGACGTCTTCCGTGGCGTTGCCGTCCTGACTGCTTAAAGTCCCTAATAAAATTATTTGATCATGTTCTGGAAGTTGATCGCAGGACTCAGAGGAAGTGACGTCAAAAGCTCAACGCGAAAATCTCACATGGCAAAATGTCAAGCAAACATAACAGAGTGCCTTACTCTATTCTTACAAAAACTAAACAAAAATGACGAGGCATCGATGCGTAATTCAAAGTTGAAGTAATCGTGCAGACCATGCTGCAGGTATTTCTCTGCATCGGAGCCTTGCAAATAGATCAGAGCGGGAAAAACGGATGCGAGTAAACTTCAATCCTGCAGAAATATTTGTGATCTACTCCGAACACCTCTCGGAGGACTGTTTCGAGAGATCTGTGTACTCTGAAGGATCTAGGCGAGGAATTCTGTCGGGTTCAGTGCCT